GTGAAGCATCAATATGGAGCAATTGATGCTATTGCTACACTAAGGTATGTTGTCATATACTTTTGGATCTATTAACATAAAAAGTAGGAGTTTGAAAGTAAGTAGGTTTACACTTTTAAATAAGTTTATATTTACAAACTAAATCATAGAGTTGCCGTATTTTAAAACACACATCAGAATTACTTTAATACCTCTCTAGGTCACATTTTTTTCCCGTTGCAAAGCACGGGTATAGCATCTTGTAATAACGTATTTCAAAGAATCGCTTGTTTAATTACCATGGTAAATTAGAGTTTTTAATGTGTTACTATTGTAAATGGTTCTTTTTGAGATAAAACCCTTGTAATTGGATGTAAAATATTACATTTATGAAGATATTGTGAAGATTTATTCCGAACATTACCAGAAACTAGTCGAAACATTTTTGGGACTAACCAAACAGGCTATCTTTAGTCTCTTGAAAATGACATTCGTGGAACTCAAATATACCTGGACTAAAATACAAATAATAATAATAATAATAATAAAAACATTCAAACAACATCTTTTATACCCATATACTTAAATTATGTAAAGAAATAATAGATAATGACACATCTCCAAACAAACCTTTAGTAGTAACTTTTCTTTATAAAAAAACAACGATCTGTCTTTTACCACAGAACCAACAAATAAACTATGTCCTTTAATAATAATAGATATTTATTATTTAAGTTTAACTGTAATACATTTAACACATTTATTCTATAATATTACATAAATCTATATAATTAATACGCTACACGAAACTTTGTCGGTTGAACTCCTCCGCCATTTCTTAACCGATTTTATCCATTGACGTCTCATTGGAAAGAGCGTGTCGCGTAGATTTTCAAACTGGCCTTACATTTTTGAAAAAGTCCCTTGGGCTCTGCCCCAGTGGCTTAGAAAGTTCCCATGTTATCCTTATGGAGAACTTAGTTGTTTACATTTTGATCAGCTGTATAATTTAATTGCTGTTATTTATTTTTCAATTCAAAGTCTTTTAAACTCATAGGAAATTATAATGACTTATTTGTTTTTAAATAACTACTTTACTTCTTTGCAATTGCTCGATTTCGAGCAACGTGTTTACTAGTACATATAAATTATTCAGTGTTAATTTCGTTAAATGTGTTTGTTAACATCAGTGCTTATTGTAACGAGTTGAAGACTCAAGATTCTGTCGTAGCATTTAATTTACGTAAACATATCACATTGAGATTCAGCGAGGCAGTCCGATACGAGATTAGATTAGCCCAGCTGTTGTCTACACAACACCAACGCTGCTAACTGTATCACGTTATACAACATTACATCACTGTTGACAGTTGTGTATCTTCGTTGTTGTTGTTGTTGTTAATGAAAATATACAATCAGTAGTATTGTATTTAGTATGTCATTAAGACTTTTATAATATTACGACACTGTTGATAATTTCATATTAATCATCGTATTTTACAGTTTATTATGTAGAATCTCTAACTAAATTCAGTATTAAAAGTTTTAATATTTTATCATACGACGGAATGAAATTTATATTTACGTTTTCAGGACGTAAGATCTACGAAAACATTCTTATTGAAAGAATTATTAAGATTTATCTAGCAACAAACAACGGAACTGAAATATTTAATGCATCTGCTACATTCGCTTTATACACCGTAAAGTATGTAAGCATTGCTAGTTCAAGATTTATTAAAGTATATTTTAACGAATTGGTTTATATTATCAAACATAGTTTTTTCGCGTATTCCTTATAGGGAAGTAGCTATCAGGGCTAGAGATATACATATATGTATATGTATATGTATATATGTATATATATGTATACCCACTACCAGGACCGTGTTTATTTTTCATTTTGATGGTCCCAGAGGCCAAATACTACCAATTTGTATTTTTTGTTTAATTTATATATATATATAACTTTAGGACCCTAGAACTCTAGTGATTGTTTTGATGTATTTATCTTTATAATATAATCACCGTTATCACATATATTACATATTATGTGTACGTGATCACGGTAACTCGAATAATATTGCTCCGATTTCATCAGCTTGAACTAGTTTGTGAACTAGCAAGATCCTGCCATAAGAACGGGGCTATAGGGTTTTGAAATATTTAAAATATAGTTTTTTTCCTAATTTTCAACGCTGACATTTAGGGATGCCAAATTGTCATTAGAGCCACCCTGTAGAGTTTAAAAAACATATTGTTGTACTGTATATTGAAGCGTTGTTGTTTGCTTCAATTTCAGGTTACGGTTATTATTTAAAACATGCACATTGAAGATCGCCATTTTGTTATTACAGATGCCAAACTGTTGTAGTTTAGTTGTTCACGAATATATTTTTATCAAATTCGGCAAAAGTTATTGATTATATCGTGTACAATTTAAATGTTTTGATAAAAAAAATATTTTCCCTTCCTTGTAGCAGCAAACCTAACCACTCTTTAAATTCAATGTCACTTAAATGGGGAAGAATTTGACTTATTTCTGAATTTTTTTTTAGTTGAAATTGAATCCATTAAATTTACATTTTTAGTTTTTAGGTTTGCTGCGGTAAATTGATGTATTCACAGGTATTCCGAAAAACAGTGAAAAAAGTCACAGATTATTCATGATATCCTTAACTTACTTCAAGGAACTCCAACGGGAAAACCACAATTGTACCTATATTTTACTATGTACCAACACTATATAGTATATATATAAACTGCCATTTCATTTTTCAGGTAAAATTATTATTTGGAAGATTTATCTATTTCCAAGATATTATAAGTTTTGATAGAACACCAACTATGTTCTATAACTAGGTATTATATTGTTGAACGCTCAGAACAAGCTGGCTCAGCAATGATCGCTTTAAGTTGGAAAGTTTCTTATAGCAGAAACAGAGAGAAAGTTTGAGGAGTGTGTATCTGAGGGTGAGTGATGGATGTGACACGAGGGTCAGGGCGGTGAGGAATGGTCCAATCCCTGCACACGTCATTAGCTTTAACTGGTCATATGTCAATTTGTACTTCACTTATGACATTTTGTCCCTTTTGACACATTCAATCGAGCAGAAAGTGTAAAACACACACATTTCCAGATTGTAAATTGTAAATTAGTCCTCGACATATAGGAACCGAATTTTTCCCCTCTTGTTTTATTTACATGTAACTACGTTATTTATTAATATTCTATACAAGTTTGTTTTAAGGGTATTGTGTGATTAGTAATGTTAAAATATTAATTAATCACGATATTTATAATAAAATGTTACATTAGGTACAGGCATGCTTTTGTAACTTTACATCAAAATATCATAAATTGTACAATGGACTCAATGCAAATCAAGAATCATATCTAAAATCACATGTCTTGTTTATTTATTTATAAACTAATATAAGGTTCCAAATTCGATCTTGAAAAATCTACTTATAAAAGGTAAAAGTAGAAAAATATCAATTTATTGTAAATTTATGTACAAAATTCCGTCAGCGTTAAACACACAAGGGATGATTGGATTTTCCCCAAACATTCTTAGAGGGCTATTTTATTTCCATTCTTACTTTTTAAATCCCTGATAGCTACAAGCAAGTTAAGCTTAAGATTGTTTAAAACGATTTAACAACCATTGATTGAGTATACAACTTATTTTATAGTATCTGATAACACGTAATGTGATATGTTAGTATGGTTGAATCGGCTATTTTAATTGAATAAATTAAACATAAATTACTAGGAAAAGTAATTAGTATGCATCATCATCATGACTTACTGGTATAATTTAGAAATCTGTTTAATTAATTTTTTAGGGTTGATTTGTAAATATTAATCATTATAAGTGTAGAGCAATAAGTTATTAATAAACTACTTTAACTATCTAGCATTTATTATTTTAATTTTGTTATTTACAACGATTATCTCTGTAGATAAGTGGTTATAGTGTTCACTTTCAACTCAGCAGGTCGCTGGTTTGATTCAAACTAGCTACTATCATTAGGCTAACAATTAATAATAATATATCAAATAAGGTAGAGTTTAATGGTACCAAGACTGTTTTAGTCCACACCGTACCCTTTTAATCGTATGAAAGTGTGATTAGCTTAGAAACACAAAAGATTGACACATTATAAAACTACAATTTTATAGTCCGGGACGATCCCTGGGTAGCTAAAGTAATTATAACATGTTTCACGCTTTGAATGGTTTGATTTTAAACCTTTGTTTATCATTATTTAACAGGTCATAAAGAAACAGTACTTTGGACCCTTACATAGATATAATAGATAGTATAATGTATTTATTTAACAACATATATATTGTAAAAAAGAAAAATTACATAAATAACAGACATTTTTAACCATCCAATAAATTATTTCTAAAGGCTCATTAAAATACTATACCATTGTAAAATTTTTAAAGTTTGGATAATCTATATTGTCAAGTTAAAATGGTGATGAAAATCACACGGAAGTAAAATGTTCATTATTTAGACTTTATATGCTCTCCATAAAAAATTAGTTTAAAATCTCTGAAATGACCCAGATACAAAATGATTAAAAACATTTACCAAACAAATCATTTACATGCAGCTATGAAACATGCCTTTCACTAAAGAGGTCACTCGTTTGTAAGTCAAATCACCTAGAAAATAGTATTTTTTATAAGATTTATATTATTAAATTTATTTTAAAATTCCTTGGCATACTAATATTCTGTAAAGCTTATGAGTCTTAACAGTTTGATATTAGATATCAAGACGAAATGACATTTTAACAGTGAGTGTCTTTAAACATATACCACCAGTTTGAACACACAATCACCTGACCGGCAAACAATGCTAATTGCCTAATCAGTCATTCACAATACCCCGGCGACGTTTGTAACATTGCAGCAAAATTCTCATTAAACTTTTTAGAAGAGAATCGATGACATAAATAAATAAAAGATCGCATGACGTGTAGAATGACGTGACTCAACTCACCAATCTCGTCAACTACGACATTGCTGAGGCCGAGCTGAGTGCAGATAACCACGAGCAGCGGCGTCAGCAGCAGCAGAACACTGTCCTTCGCCATACACACTCACACACTCTCACACATCACCTACAGACTACGGACTACACAGTGAACTCTACGGCCGTTATGATAGGTAAACAGTTGTCGTGTAAACTTTGTTTTTAAAATATGAACATAAATTATAAATTTGAAGAATGTTTATAAATATAAACAAAATAAGAATAGACAAGATATATGAGAAGGTATCAACGTTGTGTGGTACTAGGCGGCGGTACGAGCGCGGGCGAGCAGCAGCACTGCTAGGGACGTGCTGAGAGGGCGACGGACACCGGGCGACTGGGCGCCGGCGGCCCACAGTTAGGGAGTGGGCCGGGGACGCCCGACAATCTCCGACCATCGCCGAACAGCGATCCAGGCGAGGAATCAATGGCGGTAGACTGTCTGTAAGTAACAAAGTAACTATAAAATGTGCCACCTGGGAATGTATCAGATAAATTAGTTTCTAATTCGATCCGCATTAGAGCACATCTCTCGCGCCCTCCGCTGTGTGCGGACCGAGTTAGCTAGCGGTCGGATCCTCTCTCTCTCACTTTATCGTCTCCCTGATCCCTCGACAATTGATTCCGGCGCTTCCCTTATCAACGTTTCAGATAAGGTTCCTATTTTACTTCCTTTGCTCCTCTGAGTAACAGAATAATGTAATTCATTTTACGTTCCGATCTCCTTATATCTGCTTCAAAGCTTTCCAATTGATTTCTTATTTAAACCGGCCTCTGTGTTCTTCCCTTTTAATATCCTATCAAAATGATAACAACACTATTAATATGTTAAGCCAAAAATCGGGAGATTAAAGAAAAATTTAATTAAGTCCTCAGAAAAAAAGGTTATGAAGGACTTTTAGACACGTTACTGGACAAACCCGATTTTAGTACATACTAGTTTGGACTAGGATGATCAAGTTTTCCCTGACCACTCTAGGATAAATTATTTTGGCCTACTTTTCCCCAGGCTTTTCCCCTTCTTTTCCTTAGTTGTGCCTAATGGCGTACGAATAAACTAGTTTTACCGGGTTCAGGGTCAGCCAAAACTCATTTGTCTAGTGCATTATTGCTGCAGCCGGGTGGTGGGACTTGCTAGTCTTGATGTTTATTTTTTTGTATATTCTCGTATAAGTGACTTTTTGATTGGGCTTTAATTTGTTTAATGCAAAATATAGTTTAAAAACGCGTTTTAAACATTTGCTTGCTCTCGCAATATTCCCCAAATTTTATGAGGTTTTTCCAAAATAAGTCTTAAACTTTTGAAAAATAGGCATAAAAAACCCCAAATAATAAAAATAACTACGGCTGACCTTAAATTATTGTTTACAATGGTACATTATTGTTAAAGAAAATTTACTGTGCAAGTCTAAATGGCATTGTCATGTCACAATAAGTAAACGATAAATACATTTGGTTTTGTCACTCAGAATATGGAACTGTTAATTATTCATTACCGATAAACTTGTTATAAAACACTCATGAGAACAATTTTTTTGTTCTAAGACGCTAGCCACGAGCCCAGGATAGTTTTTCGCATTATTTCAGGCTATTCTAGGGGTTGCGGAATTATCACTTAGATAAATCCATTGGTGATTTGATGGGATTGATAACGGGACCTCAGGGACCGAGTTGGTCTTTTCTAAAGCAGGTCAATCTGTTTTGTCCAGGAAAATCAGGAAACACTAGATCATCGTAGTTCAAATTAGTTGATCCTATAATAGGTGTTTTCTAGTAAGAGATATAAATTGAAATGGTATTTCATGAAACATTAATTATATAAAAGACTGACACCCTTATAACCTTATAACCCTTATAATACGATCTAGGTCTTACCAAAATACCTTTGGTAATATCTTCTACTTTATGGAGGAAACCCGGAAAATTACCATTAAGTCTATATAAAATTGTGTATACATTCTACAACTAACTAAATCTAATTGAATCAAAGCATGAATGATTAGAAAACGAGTTTCTTTCTTATTAAAGATAATAATTCTCTGAAAAAAAAACCGGCTAACGCTTGTAACTGTAGTATATTAGAGTACGTTGAAAAATCTTAAGTTATATTGGATTTATTACAGGTCAACGAAGGGGACGACCTTTCCATTTCGTTTGAGTTTGCAGGTGTAGAGGCAGATTGGCATTTTATTTTATTTTATTATAATGGTTTTTATATACAATACTACTTTATATTATTTTGTTTTAAGAACTAAGCTTTGATATAAATATTATATATTTCCTATGTTCTTTCTACTTATAACTTAAATCATATAACGCTGGTAATTTGCATAATACTGTACAATGACCATATAAATTGTAAAATATATTTAAGTTTGTAGTTTTAATTTTATTTTATTGTAAATAAAACATTCTTATTGCTTTTGAATCAGTTTAAACCATAAAAGTTGTTTTTTTTATATTTAAGAATAAATAATGTAGTTGTTATAAACGTTTTTACAATTTGAGTAATAAAGTTATTATTACACACGAGGGTACCTAATTTAATCCTTATGATGATTAAGTGTACTGTTAAATGTTAGGTTAAAGATCAGTGTTTTGGTGTTAGAGGCTCCTAACACGACTTTTATATCCAAGCTAAAGACGTAAACAAGAGTAGTAATAATGGTGGCCAATGCAGAAAAGGAGGGGCCACTATGAGTGGCCCTGCCGAGCTATAGGCTCGACCATTTGTAAAATATTACAACTTTTCAGGTTACCGATTTAATGGCCACACATAGTGGAATTCCGACCACTGAGGGTTAAGAAAAAACTATTATCATGGAGAAACTGTCTATAAAATTATTGTACAGGTGCAAATTATCAAAGGAAGTTTCATTCATTTAGTAACAAATGTACAGTGAATTGTTTCAGATAAAATTTCATATACAACCAATACGACATTTATACCCTTTGTAGAAAAACTGTTTTTATTTTATGAAATTTTACAACTTAGTCCACTTATTATTTAGACGATGTGTCGGCAGTGAGACGTAGGGCCGCGGGACAGGGACGCTGTGATAATGAATGGTGATAACCTAATGAGCCAAACCGGGCGTCAGCACAAAGAGCCAGTTAACAAGTTTGTACCGCGCTGGGTCGCGGCTTCACCCCGTGGAATACTGATTTTAGTCGCCTTCAAAACTTTCGAGAGGAGTAAAACATATTGAAAAGAAGAAACTAAAGAGTATGATTTTGTATTTCGATAAATGACTGACTGGCAACACTTATGCCTCTTGGTTGTGTATAAATAGAATCCATAATTTCATGACCACTTTATGTGCAATGGAATTTAATGCTTTATTGAAGTATATAACACAGCAATATTGGTAGTTCATAAACGATCAATGTGGGTTTGGAGTGCCAGATTTAGTACTAATATAATTCGTTTTCTATGTTATAATTAAATCTATTTCTCTATAATTTTCCAGTAGCGTTGTTCATTTATGTTTTAGCATGACTTCTAAAAAGGAAAACATTTTCAAACAGGAAAAAATATATTTTAAGTTTTAGAGATAACATGGAATAAATGTGATTTACAAATTTGAATTTGACAATAGTTTTCTTATTATGTCTCATGTCTTATTATTTTTAAAATGTACAGTCAAAACGTGATTAAAAGCAGCATGTTTTGTAAATGAATTGTTTTTATTATGTCAAGTTTACTATTTCGGTCTGGTTTGGACCGCTGTGATGAATCACTGACGTAAACAAATGCTTCTGTCTTGAGTGACAATGATATATAATACTTACACAGCTTGAGTATTAGATCAGAAAATGTATCTAGCAAAATTCGTCTCTTCAATTTCTTAATAGCATGGATTTAAAATAAAATAACCCTTCGCAGAAAACTAGCAGTCTTAACAAATTAACATCGGATTTTTAATAAAATATTTACTTTACAATTGTAGATTTGTTCCTTATTCTAATAACATTAGGTTTAATGAGATAATACGTTCGCTTCTTCAGGGAAAATAATGAATTGTGTTTTTTATTGAAATGTAAATGCCCAAGGGCTAGGTAGGTAATGAGTAAGCGTAGTATGAAATAAATAAATTTGCCAAAGTTTTTATAAATGCAATCATAAATATAAGCAAACTACAGCCGTGGGAGTTTTAAGTTTACAGTTCTTGGCATGTTCTCTGTAATTGTTAGGAGGCAAACAACTATTCAATATGCTACATATTTGTTTAAGCTCTAGAGAATGGTTTGAAAATAAATTGCCAAATTTCATGTTTGGTTGTCAAAAATGAAAAAAGGCAATTTTTACTCTATATAAAACCCGCCAAAAAAACTATTCTCCCTGTCCAATCTTGCTAGTTCTAGAACTAGTTCTAATAAACGTCGGCTCAAACTTTTGCACCAATTTTTTTTTTAATCATATGATTTTTGTTCAAGTTATCCTCCCAACCTATGTAAATGTGAACGGATGGTGTTGTTAACCTCTGGGGAGACCTTTAAGACAAAAAGTAAATTGGTCCCGGGTCTAGGTGTTGTAATGAGACCTACAATAATATCTTATTCCATTATTTTTAAAATTCACTAAAAGTTACAAATAAAATAAAATAGCAACATATTCATAATGCTAAGTATTTAAAAAAAATAATTAATTTTCCTATTTTTTTTACTTATTATTTAAATATACAGGGTGTTTGGTAGTCAGTGTCAAATATTTAAGGCATTGTTATGCACACAAATTGCTATAAAGATACGCAATTTGGGTAGTTATATCTCACTCATACTTCCGGTAGCACCCATTTTTAGAATTTTCAAAATTTCTTGATATTGCCTAATAAAATCTCATATTTCTGAACTTTTAACCTACATAATGATATTTTCAATGGAATTTTAAGAATCTTCATTAAATATTCTATCAAAACGCCTATAATATGGTACAGCTAAACCCATTTAGAGTTCTTAAAATTTACTTAAATAACAAATTTGGAAAAATCAATAAAAAGGGCGCTACAACTCGCTTAAGAAATTTTTTTACCAAGTCGTGTTAAAAACTGTCAAATAGTATAAAAAACATCTCCACATTTTAAGCTTTAAAATTATATGCAATATGTGACATGTAATGTCAGCCTAAGGGGAGAAATAATGCTTTAAACATAAAATTAATCATTTTTTCCCTCATTAACTGCAATCATTAATTAAAAGAACGCATTTATTGAAAGTTATGGTGCAAAATGTATCTGTATAACCTGTGTTATGTTGTGAAGGTGGTGGAGTGGACCTTTGGTCCAAACCTTCACAGGTAAAATAAACAAGTTATAAAGTTATAATAAAGTTTGCCCGAAGTAAACTTATAAAATTTAATATTTTAGTACATATTGAATACCATAGTGCATAGTCAAAGTTATTTGAATTATTTTATACCAGGTTAATAGAGAATTTTGTAAATGCACTAGTCAGAGGTAATTAAGATAATAAATAATTAACATTATTTTAAAAATTTAAGTTATTTTACAGAATAATTTTTTAATACAAGGTAATGTTTTTTTATATAATTGTATACAAACAGAAATATGGAAAAGCTGCACCTTAAGAGTTTTAAATATGTGGTTAAAACTACCTGACTTTGCGTGTTCTTTAGCTTTTCTTTATTGCTTCAATTGTAATCTTATAGGAAAGGGTTCCTCTCAACTTTTGTACAACTACTGTCAATTATAG